TCTCTCTTTCCTCTCACGACCGTCAACCACGCCCGCTTCTTGTTTTCGTGTCTTGCTATGTTGTTTGTCTGCGCGCATGTATCTCTGGAACTTTTGGATCTGCCGCTTGTTTTGTCTCTCTAACCGTCTTCGCTTGTGCTTCACTTGTTTTATACACATGATCTATGCCCATTTTGCATTTCGCTGACCCTCGCCCGTCTTTCTTCGAGTGAACGACGTGCCATGGAAGCTTTCGCCCATTTAGCACTCCTCGTACGCCCAGTCGACACGTACCAGTGGAGCCAAACGCAATGACCATGCGGCTTTGTCTCATTTGCCAGTGTCTGAGACGAGCTGTCTACCTGACGCCGATATATTAGCTGAAAGACTTTTCAGAAGCTCTGATACCAGTTGGCTACGGATGTCAATATACTAAATCATAAAGTACCTAAGTTACGACGCGCGTATACGATAGGTCTACAAGTCCACTTATCATGACAGAACCCCAGGCGAGCCCGTTCTCTCAAGGCTTCTCATAATCACACAACGCAACACTCGTCGTGTCGTACTTCGCAACAGTGTACACCATCCACGCACAATGCTTCAGAAACGACTCCCCCGCCTCCCGACTTTCCTCATCCCCAACCATGCGCTGCATAAACCTCTCAAACAAAGAATGATAGAATTCAACGCTCAAGTTCCCAGGTTTGGCGGACCCGGTGACCTGCTTGAGCTTCTGAAGTAGAGGAAGCTGCGGATGCGAATGCATGTCAGGAATCAGATCATCGTGAACCGACTTGAATAGTACCTTGGTCTGTTCCTCCGATATGCCGACGTACACAGGGAACCGCAGCCCGCTGGTTATCTCCTCGACAGTGACGTGGAAAGAGAGCATGCGCTTCGTACATTCTACCTTGCACGTTGGGCACTTCTTCGTGGAGTACTTCTTCCCACTATCGTCTCTCTTCGGTAATCTGACAACAACAACGCATGTAAGAACCCTCCCCTTCGACGCCAAACAGAGAAATTGACTTACGGATAAGAGCACTTGCTGCAATAAAGCGGCGAGCAGTCTTCTAGGTGCAGATATCCAGGCTTCATGGACACCACTCGAGCAAGCATCGTGCAAACCGGCGGCCATTCTGCAACAGCCACCCCCTCCGGTCGAAAGGACTTCTTCGGGACTTTCGCAAGATCGAAATCCGGTGCTTCTGGCTCCACATCGACTAGATCCTGAACGGGCTCAACGCCTCGCCAGCGGTCCTTCGATCTAGGAGGATCCAGGGGTCAGCCGTCGTCACGACATAACAACCGATATCATGCAAACGTACTCCTGCAAAGCCTTCCATTCCTCACTTCCTTCATCCAGCGGATGAATAAGATTCGCCGCCCCACCTAGGGTCGCCACAAACTCGCCCCTTATCCATTTCTTGTTCCGCCTAACGCTAGCATTGACAATCCTGTACGCTTTCCCGACTTGCATTTCAGGCCCGTACTGCTGCTGCCCGTTATCCAAACGGATCTTTAGGATCCTGTGCTCAAGGCGGTGACTCGACCTTGGCTTGGGTGAGTTGAAGAGTAGGTCGAGGTGAGGGAGGTCGGGTTGGTTGTAGGTAAAGTCGGTGACGAAGATGAAGTAGAAGTTGCCGTCGTTGGGTGCAGGTTCGCCGTGTACCATCTAATGACCACGAAGTCAGTGTAGATCGCAGTAGGAGGTATAATGCAACGAGAAGCTCACCTCGACGATTAGAGTCGTGTGTCCCTCCTTGTCGATGTTCTTCAGTGATCTATGATCAAACTCGCGGATACTCGGTGCGCTCGCAAACCTCAACTCCGCTTTCCGCCTAAACGCAAACCATCAACACAACCCTTCACCCTCAAACGGCATGAAACGTACCTCAACAACGCATCCAGCGCTTTATCCCTCGGCTCCGCTCTCACATCCAACTCCTTAAACTTATTATCAATCGCACTTCCCTGCACGTACCCCTTCCTCGTTTTCGCCAAAACGTTCTCGATCCTATACACGGATCCCACCTTCAGCTTAACAGCGGGGCTCTCGGCCTCCCTCGAGCACTCTATCGTCAGAACGTATTGCCTTTTCGCTTCTGGGATTTCCCTGTTCGCGTTCGGATACACGCCCCGCGGAATCGTATAGTCGACCACGCTCAGGTTGTAACATCCATAACCAGGGCCACCGCCGACAATCTGCAGTAGAAGAAGGATATGCGAGCTGGGTATAAAGAAGGTATGGAAGGACCGCCAACTTACTTACCTCGACGGTACAGTCGAAATATCCACTAGCCTCATCCAGGAGGAGATGTTTTCGTCCCGATATGCCTGGGAGAGAGGTGTTCAACGCGCCCAGGTCGTGCAGGATTCTGCTGCTCGGAGCGACGGCATTCGCAGCACTGTTGCGCGTCTCAGCATTGGTGCCCGAATCGAGTCGCGTCAGAGCCCAGTTCGCGATCTCCTCGCACTTCCTGATAGTCCCCTCCGACGGCGGCGACTCGTAAAACGGACTGAAGCCGTTCTCCTCTTTCGGAGCGGTGCCCCAGATGGGGACTTTGAACTGCGCGGTCGTAGGGTCGTATGCTGTCCACCTGTACCTGCGTTCCCTGCCGTTCAGGTTGCCATATTTTCCGGCCTTATAAGTTGGGTCAGAATAAGCATTCAAGTTGGTACAACGATTATCGGGCCCACCTGAACGTTGCGCAATACCAGCACATCGCCTGGAATGACCTGGGGAAGCCACTCAAAGTAGGTAGTTTCGTAGCAAAAAACGGCATGATGCTTGGTCGCAGTCGGATCGGTCAAGTCGACTCGAATGCGTACGCCTGCATGCAGAGAAACATTCATCAAATCGATGTAAGCAATGAGAGGGGAAGCTGTGCAGCTTACTGTCGTGCCTGGGCTCTTGCTTTCCGACGGACATAACCAGCCCGACGACATCACAGAATCCGAATCCTTTCAGATCTCCGAAAGACGTGTAGCCCTGTTGGACGAACGAAATCAGCTTTAACGCGTGCGTCCAGTGAAGACACACGTACACCAGCTCCGGAGCCCACCGTCGCGGCTCCTGGACGCTGAATCTGAACCACCGTCCTTGGATTCGTCAGCATAGGGGTGGGTGCTGACGCCACGGCCTGAGCCGGGGTATGCGACTCCGCCCCCGAATGGCCTTCGACGCGACTGGGACCAGCAACAGCGTTCGTCGCACTAGCCTGGCGCGAAACAGGAATAGCACCTGTGGCGGGAACCTGACCACCTCGAAGGCCCTGGGCGCCATTCTCAACCGAGCTACGGCCGTTCACACCAGCTCCACCTCCGCTCACACCAGTTCCACCTCCGTTCACACCAGTTCCTCCTGGCGCAGCGCCCCGAGTCAGAGCATCGCCAACGTTTCCATCCGTCCCCCCGGCGCCCCGCTCAGCCAGCTTCGCCGCCCTCTTCGCTGACTTTTTCTCTTTTTCTCTCCTATGTTTCCTCTGCTTCCTAGTAAGCTCCGCGTTTCCCTCTTGCTGCTCGTCGAGGGGCACCGGTTCCGCTGCTGGAATGAACACGCGGTGTTAGCTTCCTGCGATAACCCATACACTGCGAAAGACGTACATTCGGCTGGTTCATCATCGTCCAGCTTGTGTATAAAAGAGGACGGAAGATCGTCCAAGATGATGGACGTTGGGTACGTCGACATTGGGGAGCGGTGTTCGGGTGGTGCGGGTGTGGATTTGGGGGTGGGTAGGGAGCCGGCGGCGAATTCGCGGCTGCGTTCACTAGATGGAGATGAGATGGGGAAGGCTGAGACGATGGGTGGGGGTAGGGCGAGGACGTACTCTGGTGATTGCTTCAGTTCGGGGGAGGGAGGTGGAACACGCCGTCTACGAGTTGGATATTAGGGTTTGCACTGGGGAAAACACGCAAGGCTGAGAATGTAACGTACCTCGGTAGTTCCAGTTCTTCACCGACGCGAAGCAGTCGGGATGGCTGAAGTCGGATAGGTCTGGACACACAGAATAGCATGAGCTCCACACTCGCCGTGTCAACTGGACCAAGCACGTACTCAACGATTGGACTGCGCGTCGAAGCTTGCGTAAAAAACCATTCGTTATCCTGCTCGTCGATACCCGGCGAGACAAGAGGCGCCTCGTCTTCTTCGTCTGGCTGAGAATGCTTGAAGAACGGCAGACTCGAGGGCGTTTGTTCCTGGATAGGAGGCGACGACGGTTGGTCAATCTCCACGTATCCATCGAGCTGCGCAACGTTCCTCAGCGTCGGGGACTGCATCCATTCATCTCCCTCCTGAGAATCTGTCACAAAAACCGTGAACATCTCAAGTCAAAACGATCGGGAAAAGGTGCTCACCATCAGGCAGAGCCCACGTATCATACACCTCCCCACCCCCCGGCTCCTCCAACAACGCAAAGCACACTCCCTCCTCATACACCAGCGACTGCACCCCCTTGATCTCACACACCAAACACCCCCTCAACGAGATCCTAACATTCTGCTTCGGCGTAAACGGCTTCTCGATCCTCACCGCGTCCACCCACTTGCCCCGGAACACGACGTGCAGAAACTGATTTGCCGTTGTCGAGAGAAGCGTCGTGGCGCTGAATTGGAAGTAGCTGGCGCGCTGAGGGTACTTGACTACGCATTGGACGGAGATGTAGCCGGCATCGGTGGAGGTCTTGTTGAGGAGGTCGAGGTAGCGCTGGCTGGACGGGTTGGAAAATTGGGTGTATAGGTGTTTGTCGAGTTTACGTTTCTTGGATGAAAGAGAGACGGCTTGGGGCTCAGATGGACGTTTCATGGATGAGCATCAGACTAAACGCGGAAAGCGAATGTGGGGCTGAGGGGGATAAGGAGGAGAACGTTTAAGGTTAGGGTTGGAAATGAGTGCGTTTATTGTCAGGTGATCGTTCTGTAACCGCGATCTCCCCGAGTCCCAACCAGTCTTTCAACCTTAAATTCGTCCTCTCGCAGGTCCACAACTGATCAAACCAATTAAAAACCGGGGCTAACCGACCTTAGCTCAGTTGGAAGAGCGTCAGACTGTAACAGGATAAACTTGATCTTCGAGTAATATGCACAAGGTGATCTGAATGTCGCCTGTTCGAACCAGGCAGGTCGGAAAATACATCAAGCCGATGCCTTTTTGGCCTCTCCGCATCATCCCACTGTTGTTTTTATGTACGACTGCTTGAGCCTGTGGGATCACATACCTTCTCTCAAGTCCCAGCTTAGATATAACTTCAGCACCGACCTTGAGTGTAACCACAATAATTTCTACTGGGTTTCGATGACAGATCTACAGAAGTTACAGCCAACGTGACTCTCAAAACAATATATTCCCAAGTACACAGTCAAGTCCAGCGTTACATTCCGCGCCCCTCGCCGCACCGATCGCGCATACACCCATCTCTTCACCTACCCCACTAATCTTCCCCCGCACTACTCTCCACAACAACCCTAATCATCTCCTTCCCCAACTCGCCCGCCTCCTCAAACCTCCCCTCAAAAAACCCACTCGTCTCCTCGAACCTCTGCCTATACACCTCGAACGACGCAAACGATACGCACTGCGACCACCCGCGGGCGGCGACGACAAATTCGAGGTCGTCGGTGCGGTGCCAGGAGTCGTGGATTGCGGAGTGGATGGCTGTGTCGAGGTGCGGGGAGTGTGATGGGCTTGGGGTGGATTGGGAAGGGGGCGAGGTGGAAGAGATGGCGGAGAGGGATTGGGAGGGGATGGACGGGGAGGGAGGGACAGAGTCATCCAACAACGGCGCCAGGAACAAATACTCCGCTACCCCAAGGAATAATCGGAACAGAGGCGTAGCAGCCAACGTAAGATGATGGAACGGGTCGATATCCAGATGCGCCCAACAATCCACCATAGCCAATAACGAAAGATGTGAATTCGGCGTTGGTTTTCGGGGCTTTCCTTCCTCCCCAGGCTGGATCTTCCCAAGGTCGAATTTATCGAGAACATGTGGGCTGAGCAGGATCGGCCGTTTTCTCCGCACCGAACCAGGGGGTCCAAAGACCGCGTCGCGGGACTTGTACATCCGCTCCCTAAGCCCTCCTTCGTCGCCCAGGACCATGAGCCGGTAGATCTCCGTTGTACTTCTCGCGAACTGGTCAATCTGTATACGGGCAAAGGGGTTGAGAATGGCGAGGCCGGCGTAGACGTGCCATTTGTTCGAGTAAATCCGTAACATGATGTTGACTTTCACCGTCTCGATCCCGCCGACGTAGAGGCCTTGTTCCCAGGGGTAAGACGCCTTTGCGCACCATGCTGTGCCCATGGAGAGGAAGGCGGCGTGGATGACGGCTTGGGTGTTGGCGGTGACGAGATCGTGTTCTTTATAGGAGAGGTGGACGAAGCGAGATTTGAAGGAGGAGAGGATACATTCGACGAGTTGGCGAGATGCATCGGAGGCGCGGTGTTGTGTGATGACGAGCGGTTGACCTTCGGTGGATACCGTCGGTCCATGGAGGGAGTGGATGGTGACGATCTCCACATCCTCTGGCAACCACTTTTCAAACGCCTCGATCTCAGGCTGCTTCACGCTCGTCTGTCCACTGACGATACACCCCATCTTCGTACTCGGCCCGTACTCCTTGACGATCCTGTCGATGAACTCCGCTTCGACAGAGTACATCAGAAAGTCACTCGTGCGAGAAACGGCGTGGCCGTCTTTCAGGACGGTGATGTTGGAGGGAGAGGATGGGGAAGTGAATTGGGTGAGGAGGGTGTCGTAGGTTTCGGGGCGGTCGCAGACGCGGATGTTTGCCCAGCCTGCGGTGGAGAGGTGGTGCGCGTACATGCGGCCCATGGCGCCCATACCTATTATCCCGATTGTGGGTTGCTCATCTGCGGGAAAGGAAGGGTCGATGGGAAGACGAAAGCGGGACATGGTTGCCTAAGGGTTATCGTGGAAGAGGCTAGGGTATGAGGGGAGGAAGCAAGACGTGGGAGGCGAGAGAGCACGTGTATACATACACCCTGTGAAGCACAGATGAGCGCCCGGACCCTGTCGCTGACTGTAGATGCGACCTCGGCGGGGAGGTGGATGAACGAAGGAGGAGAGGTGGAAACGGGCGCTACTCCCCAAAGTTAACGCTTACCTCCTGTCGGATCAGCGGATCATGTTGCCGACTCTTGGCGCTTGCCATCTGGTGAGTGCGGCCTTGTTTGTCCTCCTCCTCCATGTCGTTCCTTACCTGTGTCTCTCTGCTCGTTCCAGAGAATACTCGTTGACGTGAAAGCACTTTAAAATACATATCTTGACTCTTAATTTGGTCATATCACAAGCTGAAACTCTTCAAGGTCACCGTTCTCAACAAACTAGATGCCAGCTGTTTAGTACTACTGCACTCCTCGAAGTTCGAGTCCCATAACCTACGTCAGGCAAAGGCTTTGCGACCTGGAAGGCTCCATGACATATTATTTCTCCAATTTCCGATCCCACCCTGGTTGTGAACACTTAGTCTTTGGCTCATTCATCCTCACGTCGACTTCGGCGGCGTACTAAAGCCCATGGATCGTTCATCATCTTCCGTAACCCAGGTCGTCGTTGAGTTTTCATAGCCTCAGGTGACACTCCTCCCAGCATCTACATGCGCAGCTCAAGTTGTCCTTTCATCTTCAACACGAACGCATTTGTCCTCTCAGGTTGCCAGTAGTTAGGACGTCGTGTAGCTGTGCATCAACTGCGCGCTGATCGCAGCGTTCGTAACATCGACGTTCGCGCCCAACGTTCATCACATAGCGCAGTATGCTGTTAAGTTTTGGTTCGTCAACGCGCTTCGTTCACTACAAAGCGCGTGTTCTCGCGTTTCGCTCCATCCATCTGCTGACGTAGTAGCCCAACCGCAGCTTCTTGCTGACCGGTGACCATTCACCGTCAACAACGCATCTCTTCAGCGAAGCTATTCGGTGGATATATAACGCGTCCTTGCGTTGTGCAAATCCCCATCCTCACCTACCATGAGACAATCATCTACCTTTGGAACCTTGCTCGCCCTAGCTTCTGTAGCCATCGCCAGTCCTGGCCTGAGGCCCGCCATCACAAGACGACAGTCTCCAACCAACGATATGGGTACCGTGGATCCTCCGATTGCGTTCGACTGGGCCTCGGTACGTTGATCAGCGCTGCACCTCTCACTGTCTGATCATTCCATCTCCTTACAGATCAGCGCCTGTGTCGACCTGAACTGGGTAGACTGCTACACTCCTCCCTTCAAATGCGCTCGTCTCAGCGTAAGCCGTAGCTTCATCATCTTTCCCGTAACTCTTGTCACTCACTCCGGTACCGGTACTAGGTCCCGCTCAACTACTCCGACCCCACCACCGACGGCCTCGCTTCCGTCGCCCTGATCACACACCCTTCCCCCCTCGCAAACACCTCAGACTACCGCGGTCCGATCCTCGTTAACCCCGGTGGTCCTGGCGGAAGCGGCGTCGAGTTTGTCCTAGGCGCGAGCGAGTACTTGCGGGGTTTGTTTGGGGATGAGTTTGATTACATTGGGTTTGATCCTCGCGGTTCGTCTTACTTTCCACGGGGAATTTAGTACTAGTGCTAACCAATCTTCCCTCAGGCGTCGGCGAAACCACCCCGAAACTCAACTACACCACCGACCCTTTGGAACGACTGGCATATGGCAAACGTTTCCTTGAGCTCGTCGACCTCAGTGAAGAGACATGGCCTACTCTTCCCCAGCGTATCGAGGAGCTAGCTGAGAACGGGAAAGAGAGTAAGGAGTTGAGAGGTGATGTGTTGAGGTACGCGAGTACCGACAATGTGGCGAGGGATATGATGAGAATTATTGAGGCGCATGAGTATGGAGGAGATAAGTTGCAATATTATGGGATCTCGTGAGTTGCTACTAGCATTTCTTTAGATTGTTGAAGACGAAACTGACGAGCGGCTATGTGTAGATACGGCTCCGTGCTGGGGTCGGTATTTGCGACGCTGTTTCCTGCGAGTTACTTTCATTTTTCATCCGCCTGTATGGTGGTGTACTAATAAGTCATTGTTTAGGATAACGTCGAGCGCGTTCTCATTGACGGCGTAGTCGACCAAGTCGGATACTTCGCCGGCAAGCCCCCTTCCAACCACTTCATACCTAAATCCTCTCCTAATCCAAACTCACCACACAGACGACTGGAGCGGCGCCTTCGTCGACACTGAACAAGTCTTCCAATGGTTCCTCTCCTCCTGCCTCTCCGCCGGGCCAGACCTCTGCGCCTTCCACGCCAACACCACTGAGGCCTTATTATCCCGCTACTCCGCCATTGAGGACCTCATTCTCTCCGGCACACTAGTCTACCCCGATGCCCCCGATCGCGTCGTCCAACTCCCCCACGTCCAACTCCTCGCGTTCAACCTCATGTACACCCCCCCTACCGGATTCCCCGCCATCGCGGAAGCGCTGGTAGCGTTGGAGAATGGGATCGTGCCGTTCACGGCGGAGGTCCTCGATAATATTGGGTGGGCTTTATCCCAGACTGGTGGGTTGGCGTGTTCGGATACGAAGCTTGCACAGAGGACGGAGGAGGAGATGAAGGAGTATGCGGTGAATGTCAGGAACGTGACGGAGCATTTGACGGCGTTGCCGAGTTTTAGTGGGGCTTGGTGCTCGTGAGTTTTAGGATTCTTTCTTTCCTCTCAAATGATTGCTAATATGTGCCTGCGTGTATTACAGTGGGTGGGAGATCGAGTCGGACAACTTCAAAGGTGTGTTTTATTCCTTTCTGACATCGCGGCTCGACTGGTTCTGATACGAGCTCACTTCGAAGGACCGATGGGAGCAAACACCAGTGTTCCCTTGCTCATGGTGGGGAATACAGCGGATACTATCACACCTCTTATCGCGTACGCACATCTCCCTCCTCTTTGTTTTGTTGAGTCCAGCACATGTTGATGGTCGAATTCAGCGCACAAGAAAACTCCGCCCGCTTCCCAGGTTCTCGTGTCTTGACTTACGATGCTCCCGGTGTAGGTCATGCATCATTTCTTACTCGCTACACATATCTAATTCTTTCTTCATCCCCAGCATGCAACGCTTGCGTTCCCGGGTAATGAATGTATCGCCATTCATTTCCGTGCTTACATGGTCAACGGTA